ACTCATTTTTGGTTCTGCTTTCTGAAGTGAGAACATCAATACTTTTGAAAATTCAAGACAAGTTAAACTCCCAATTTAGTGTTTTAAAATCCTGTAAATGCCATAACTAGCTGCTGGATCACCTGTTTAGAGTGTTGTGGGTACAGTATTTGTGTCCTTTGTGTGAATATATGAGCACTATAAGTATCAAACCGATAAACATTTATTCGGGGCTCACTTCATGACAGGCACCACATGTACAAAGTGAATGTGGAAGGACTGTTGATGTAAATGGTTTTACAGTTCACGAAAGTACAAAGGGTGGAGAAAATATCTCTCCTTCTTGCAGAAAAACTAGGATTCCTAGAAAAGACAGTGGAGCTGGGAGATCAAGGGTGAGTAGGATTTCTCCAGATGATGGAGGTGAATGTCCTCCAGGTACAGGGTCACTGGAGCAAGAGCACAGAGGAATGAAAGAGCTTCAGATAAACAGTCAATAAGTCTGTGTGGTCCCTGCACGAGGTCCCTGGCAGCACAGTTGGAAAATACTCTGGGAGGGATATTGAAACTCATTCGTACCATGCTTTCCATAGCATGTCAATGGGTTTAGATTATTTTCCTTTTAATAGGAAGAGAAACCCATTAGATTTTTAATGAAGGAGAGTACCGTGATTGATTTTGTGCTATGGGACAATGACTCCGGTGCCCTTATGTAAAAAGAGGTGGAGGAAAAAGCAAGTTAGGGATGCTTTTCAGCCTTGCAATTATAAGTGGGGATGCAAGCCAGCTGAGATAGTTGCAGGAATGAGAAAAGGAAAATAATGTATTCAACTAATAGAATATCAAAATAGATCCAGAGACATAGAAGCATGGAACAGACTGTTGAATCTCAGAGGAAAGGCGGGGGTGGGTGGGTTGGAATAGATTAACCAAAGAACTTGTATGCTTGTATGTATAAGCCTGGGGGGGTGTGGACTAGGAGAGGTCAAAGGGGGGAAAAGGAGGACATATGTAATACTTTCAACAATTAAAGTAAAAATTTTAAAAAAGAGAAGCAAAAAAATAGAATATTTATATTCATCAGGGAAATTAATAAAAGATTTCAAACAGGCCATCTATGCACTTTAATCCACTTATATTTTCCATGTATTTCTAGAAAGTTTGTTGATTTACTACCCAAGATGCCCCCGCCCCCACCAAAAAAAAAGAGTAGAATCTAAAACTGTCATGCTGGAAATGGCATTTGACAGAGTAAGTAATTATGTAACATATATTTTATTGTATGTTCAGAGTAGTACCATGGTGTGCACCACTGCACACTTGTTTATTGAGAGAAGAAATGAATGAATCAATGAATTAATGCCTACTTTAACATCACTGCACTTCAATATTTTGATTGTAAAATTTGGACATTGTTTCAAAATATTTCTTTAAAAAAAAAGCCTGAGTAACTGAAAGGAAAGTAGCAATTTTATATTCCCCAAACTGAGCAGTTACTTTTGACTCCTACAAGAGGTAAAAGGGGTGCTGCTGGTTGTATAACTCGGGGTGCACATATTACTCCTTTATGCTCAGTAGAGATTTCCTTCCTTCGTTAGCATCATATTAATTTATTTATTTCTAGTTTGATATTTTTGCTTTTACTTTATTTCAAGTCAGAAGAGTGGCATTGAACAGGACAGTAAGAAGAGGTACTCACTTAAAAAGTTGTAGGAGTCAGAGACCAAAGGTATGGTTACCAGAAGGGAAGGGATGGATAATATTGTGATACGTTTACAAGGTGACACATCATTACTAGATTTAATGGAATGATCACACTGTAAGGTATAAAAATCCCAAACAATTATTCTGTGCACTCGAAACTGAAATAACCAATATAAGTTTGTATACAACTATATTTAATAAAAAGTCAAAAAAAGTTTGTAAAGACTCAAGTATGACTATGAATATAGAAGACTAAAAAAAATCCCTTCAATTTCTCTTAGTACATAAGTAATATGACCAAGTGTCAAAAAAATGAGAAATGCTACAGATAATTAGGACTGTCTTTAATGTTCTATGTCAATGAGGCTTTGGGTTAATGCAGTCTAGAGACATAGAGGTGCTCTCACAGTTATGTTTGCAATTATTTTGGGTTCCTCAATTTCTCAAATATTATCCTAATTAAAGGTTCCCTAATGCTGGTATGTAATTGTTGATTTTTAAATTGCAACTGCAAATTACTTACACCCTTGAAAGTTCAATAAGCCTTTAAACCTTTTAGCTTTTCTATTGATGTCCTAATCATGAAATTAAAGCATCTGTAGTAAGCAGAAGAGATCATGTAAGCAGTGGCATGTTCTCTATAGGGTACAAATCAATAAAATTATCGTGATGACTTTTAGTTCAATGATCTACCTACTGGAAATGGACACAGCTTTTAAAATTGATATTTAAAGCATGCATCATTTGCACGAACTATATCATTGCCTAACATTTTGGTTATAATGGCTAAATTATTCTCAGTGACATCACAGAGTAATGCCAAATTCCCCCAAAAAGAAGCCCAGCAGATAACGTACATGGCCTTGATCTCAGTCAAATAAAGATGCTAGAGTCATATCTTCTTATTTTCCAGGTGCATATGTGCTCCAGGTCAAGGCCACGGATGCAGATGACCCAACCTATGGAAACAGTGCTCGAGTCGTTTACAGCATTCTTCAGGGACAACCTTATTTCTCTATTGATCCCAAGACAGGTAAATTTTTTATTAGAAATAACATTACCACCATGCCTTCAAATATTTAAACTTTAATTAAATCTTGGCATGGGAAGTTGCCTATTCTAATACTACAATAAAGTTTGCATGCACTGCAATTAAGCAAAGGAAAATAGGGTCTTACCTCACTGCTGCGGAACTATTTCCTTTGGATTGAATATAAATCTTTGTGTAAATATAAATCTTTCTTACGTATGTGTGTCAACTCCACATTTGCTGGTTAGAATTCTCTGTATAATTTACTTTACATTTTCAAAAGTCCTTGCTTTTTTTAATTTATTTTTTTTTTATTATCCTGGCTAAAACAGGCCTTTATTTCAGGTTTTCTTGGTTGGGTTCAATCATGTTCAGTTTGGGCCTTGTTGACATATGGTAAGATCATGGAGCTTTTATTGCTATTTTCATCAAAGGTTATGAATGATGGACTTGGATTAATAAAGTTGTATGCTTCTAGTAGGGAAAAGATCGGGTTGGCAAACTGGAAACACCAAACTAGTCTATGTTTTTAAAACCAGTCTCATATATTTAAAACAGGTCAAGCCATTTAAATTGTTTTCAAAAACAAATATATAAGAATCTATGGGAAGTCTAGAAAGGGCAGGAGGGTAGACAGAAATATTTTGTATTTGTTTTTAAATAAAATGAGGTCCCCATGCTTTGAGAGAAACTGTTTTACATGCTGGATAGGAGAAATATATCAACAAATATTGAAGGGAAGTTATCTAAAATATTAAACATCCTTTTATCAGGCGGAAGCATGATGGGTTATTTTTTCTTACATAATTACCTATCTTTTCTAAATGTACCATAATGGGTATTCTAATAGGAATAGAAGTATGAACAATACATGTGTCTTAGATCTTTTCAAACTCTAAGAAGCACTTCTCAGAGACAGAGGGGATGGAGGAACGAGAAAAGAGGTGAGAGATTGGTGAGGTATTAGAGGACAGTTACTGGCTTGCAGTGATTAACTCTATAAACTAGGTGAGTTTATGTACTCAGATTAAATGTGGGAGCAGAAAGATGAAGGACTTGATATTGGTGACATGACTATAGATGGAGCCAATATCTATCTTTAAGAAAATGTAAGATAAAATCATACAAAGATGAACTTAAGAAGAAAGCATGGGTAAAAATATAATTGTTAAAGTCAAATTAATATTAGACAGATACAATTATGTGAGTCAAAACACTTACATTCCCTTGATTTTACTTGTTAATTACCAATCTCGAATAAATTCTAATGTCTTTAGAAAATATTATATCATAGAAAAGTAGTATATTCATAATATGGTTTATAATTGTGTATTTGTATTTTTTACATAATGATTATTATTTAGAACTGAAGATGAAACAATTCTGGCATAAACTATGGAATAGATTTTTTGAAGCATTGATTTTCACTGGAGACAGAAGTCTTGATACTAACAATACCTCAGACCACTAGACAGGAAAAGAGTGGATGATGAAACGCTTCATTAATAAAATGATAACTAGTTTTCATGCACAGAAACCATTAAGAAGACTTCTTGTCAAATTTATCACCTTGTGGTTAATAAGAGTAAATAAAAAATCAAGCATAATTGCAATTTCTCAGAAATAGTCTCCATTTGTTCCAGCCATATAACTTTCTTTTATGATTTCTTTTGCTGTTATTAAATAAAATGCATGAGAAACTATTATCTTAAAAGTTTCCACATATGAGTGTAGATGCAGTTAAAAACAATTTTTAAAGAAAGAGTTTCATCAAAACTTCTGGTGCCTAAGATTTATGAAGAGATAAATATAACCATTTATTTTTCATTTAAAATAAGAAAAATATTTAAAGATTTCTTTATTGACACTGTTGTGTAACAAACATTATTTGAATTAACTGAAATTTTTTTTCTGAATTAATGTTCAAATATTCATTTATATGCCTTAAAATACCATTAAATATTTTTAAAACTCACAAATAGAGATAAATCTATAAAATATTAAATAACATTGACATTGTTAATTTTATAGCCTATTACATATGTATTATATTAACATGTTATGCTATATGACATACATTTTTATACTTAACATTTAATCAGAAAAACATTCACAATTTATAAAACATCAAGCAGGAGACATTATAATATTTTACCTAGTGTAAGAAATCAAGATGTTAAATATCTCCATATAATTGATTATAGAATTATTTAATTGAAGAAAACAAACATTACTATGAATTACTTACCCTATGTCTTAAATTATATTTAAGATTATTTTAAATTATTTAAATTTTTCCCTAAATTATTTCAAAAACTAGTCTGACGTGGGTAACTAGATACTGCTACTATGTGTATCATGTGGTGATATATTGTATTTTCCTAAATTATCTGAGCCCCAACTTGGGAGAACATTATGATATAATTTATCTAAACTTCATTTTTCATTTCTCTGAACTTTAACAATTTTATTGTGGCAAAATATACATAATAAAATTACCATCTTAGCCATTTTAAGTGCATAATTCAATGGCATTAAGCACATTGACATTGTTGTGCAACCGTTATGACCATCTATCTCTGGAACTCTTTTATAATATCATGTTCATTGTCAAAAATAATGAGTATTTATGAGTGTTTATTTTATGTATTTAAACCTGAATTTCTAGATTTCATGTGAAAACAGTTAAGTGAGAATGGAGTTCCATGCATAAGATACTCCCCCCCGCCCTTTAGCCTTTATTCACAACTCTGATGGTTTGTGCTCTGAGAACCTCTCCTAGCTTATGCTCAGGGAAGTCTGATAGAGGTTGCTGAGAGAAATCACTCTTTCTCGAGATTTTTGCTTTTTAAATTTGACTATCACCTTTATTTCAGGAATTATAATCTTCAAGGCTCTGTCCTAAATGAAACCTTCTGCCATATCCTGACTGATAATAATTTTTTTCAGGACTTTAAAAATGTGTTGGAAGCAAAATAAGTCAGTCACAGACAGATAAATATCACATGATCTCACTCATTTGTGGATTATAATGAGCAACATAAACTGATGAACAAAAACAGATCCAGAGACAGAGAAGCATCGATCAGATGCTAAAACCTCAGAGGGAAGGTAGGGGTAAGCGGGAGAGATCAACCAAAGGACTTGTATGCATGCATATAAGCCTAACCAATGGACACAGACACCAGGGGGTGAGGGCATGAACGGGAGTGGGGGGGGGGGCAATGAGGGGATGAGGACATATATGTAATCCTTAATCAATAAAGAAAAATAAAATAAAATGAAAAAATAAAAATGTGTTGGTGTTTTGAGCCCCATTTAAAAGTAAAGCACTGCCCAGAGTTTATATTTTATAGTAACTATATAAATACTTAAGATTGCTTTATTATTTGAAAATGCTTTTTGATATTAATTCAGAGTTAAGTCTTACAGGATTCACACACCCTCAATTGGTGCTGGTGAGAGAGATGTAACTTTTTTTCTCTTTAAGAGTAAATAAAAGAGCATTTGTTACAGAAAAAAATCATTACTCTCCCCCCACCCCCATTAATACAAGGACTAATAGGAACTTAACAAGAAAAGAAAAACAATAGATGGTGACAAATGTAAGGAAGGCAATGTGTTAGGGGAATAGACAAGTATTAAGATGAAAAAACAGGTTAGCTATTTTAAAATATTTTGCATATCTGTAGTAAAATTACTTGACTAAAAACATTCTGCAGACAATGGTTTCCTTGTGAGAACCATTGCCACACTTTGTGAGAACTCTGTGTGAACTTCACTTGCCTAATTTCAAAAGTCATGGAACTTCAGCAGACAGAACTAAGAATGTTTGACCTTGAAAGGGAAGTGCTCTGGGGGGAGATGCTACATGACTTTAGGAAGCTGTAGAGCTGTCAGGTACAAGAAGAACCAGCCGTGTTCTGTGCTGCTGGAGAAATCGGCTGTCAATGGCTGGTATGAATTCCAGGAAGAAAAAAATTTCATTTTATATATAAAAAAAGATGTTAGTACCTGTCCATAAATAAGAATAGTGCTTTGTGAAATTATGTGCTTTAAATTGCTGGAAATGCTAAAGCAGATGATGAGTAATGAACAAATGTTTTATCCTGTTGTTCAAATGACAGGATTTCCTTGATCCTCATGACTGAATATTCTATTCTATGTGTCCAGTCTTCTTTATCCAATCATCCACAGGTGGATACTTAGGATATTTATATATTTTAGTTATTGAGAATAATGCTGAATGAACATGGAGGTACAGATATTCTATGAGCTTCTGTTTTTATTTATTTTTATTTTTACTACATTTATTTTCTCTAGATATATGTCCAGAAGTAGGATTGTGGACCATAAGGTAGTTCTAATTTTAATTTTGTGAGGAACCTCCACGCTATTTTTCATAATGGCTGCACCAATTTTCTTCTCCACCCACAGAGTACAAGGGTTCTTCTTCTCCACTTTCTTCCAACACTTACTACTATCTCTGTCTTTATGATGACAGCCATTCTCACACCTGTGATACCTTAGTGCGCTTTTGATTTGACTTTCCGTGATGGTTATTGATGTCAAGCACCTTTGCATGTGGCCATTTGTATAACCTCATTGCAAAAGTTATTCAGTTCCTCTGCCCATTTTTAACAGTTTTTTGTTGTTGTTGTTGAGTTATATGAGTCTTTCCTATTTTGGATAATAATCCCTTATCAAAGACAGATGTGCAAATATTTTCTCCCATTCTATAGATTGCTTTTTAATTTTGCTGACTGATTCTTTTGCTGGGCAGAAGCTGTTTAGTTTGATATAGTTCTGCTTGTTGATTTTCAAGATGCTTCCCAGAAAGTTTATTTATCTTTGGAAAGCACTGTGACTTCCTTCCCCCACTGTGGTCTGTTTTGATACCACCCTTCCTGGGCTCTCCCTGGGTGCTCTGAAGGGCTGTGCTCCCCTGCTCTGCCTCCCTAGGGTACCCCACCCTGTGTTATTTTCAGGTCTGCTTTCTCCACTTCTCTGAGATTGCAGCTCTAAAGCTTTGCCCGAGAGTAGTTTTCTGACACTGTGTTTAACGGCACTTGATTTCTTTTTCCTCATAGCACTAATCACCATCTGAAATTAGCTTAATTATTTAAGTACTTCTTTATGGCCTCCTCACCACCCCACATGAACACATAGCCATTAGATGTGCATTCCACACAAAAATCTTGTACAGAGACTGTATTAATTATTATCCCAGATGGAAACAGATGGCACCCCATTGGGCAATTTGAGATTCATTTAATAAGAGAGCTCTTTATTAAAGTGTGAGCAGACTGTAGGGAAACCATGGGGACAGGGCAGAATCTGGAAGAGGAATACAAGTACATTCAGTAGCCACACTGGGGCTGAAGGAATGAGAAGGGCCTGGAGACATTGCGGGGTGAGGGACTGTGACAGGAAATAGGGGGGTTTCCATGAAAGGGAAACCCCAACCTCATTCTCCTTTACACCATCCCATCTCCTCACAATTGGCCTAAGGCAACCAGAAACCAGAAAACAGACAGAGGTCTAGGAAAGTGTATGAAGTGGATCTGGGGGAATAAATGGAAGAGTGTTTGCTATTATACCTTCAAACCTAATAACAGGGCCTGAATGAAGCATATTTTAGTACAAATGCTCACGGAATCTAGTGTTGCATGTCTCAATCCTACCCTCAATTCAAGAAAAGCTTATATAAATATCCTGGATTATCACATGTAATAGTTTCTTCCTCATATGTAGTATGGCATTATTTTTATCTCAATTTGTTTTCAGCATATTTAACACATTTTTACAAAATAGGCTGATATCCACCCAGATTAAGGATATTGTATACAATATGTGGTGATTGCAGATGGTGAATATATCCCCTGGAAGACTAGCATCCCTGGATATATATTTCTTTAAGTTTATAATTCCCTCAGCCATATATTTCCATTAACTTTGGCAGAAATAAAATCCATTTTCTTCATTCTTGTTTTTACTCTAATTACCATCTTAATTATATATGTTGGAAAGTTCATTAGGTTTAACACACTCAAAACCTACTAGGATCCAATGAATACTTACCTATCTACTCTTTTTCCCCCCAATAAATAGGATGTATTCCAGATTAATTAAAGTTTGTGGTGTCACTCCTACAAAGTACTAATACTGTTCCATAAAATGTGTGTGTGTGTGTGTGTGTGTGTGTGTGGTGTTTTTTTTTTTCTTTTTAGGCTGCAGCTATTATTACAGAAGGTTGCTGCTGCATCTTTATATACAACTATTGAAAAATAGAGGTGGGCTCATGAACTGAGGCCTAGGACCTGAAATAACAGAATGCAGCATTTCTTTCTGCTGGTTACATTCGACTAGCACTTACGCACAGTCCTTGGCAAGGTTCCTCCCTGCTCAAGACCACTCAATGTACTTCTGTTTGTTTGGCTTTAAAAGTTCAGCAGTTAATAAGCAGTGTGTACCCAGAAGAGTAACTTCTTGAAAAGTAGGTCTGTTTTCCTTCAGGCTAATTCTATGGACCACAATGTTTCAAGATTCTCTTTTCACATTGAACTTTGCCTGAATCCCTAGATTCAACTCTAAAAATTTAAATTCTACCAGTGTCATATTTTATTTCCCGGGGACAGGGGTTTTAAGTGGAAATGGTTGTGGGGAGCAGAAGCACATCATACTCATCAATGAGATTTCTTTGAAACTACATGAAGGGCCCTGTTTGCTCTCTAACTTCTAACACGCCTTCCAGTTGAGCAGCATTACTCCGGAAGTGGGGCTAGAAGGAGCAGAAAGGTCCCCTCCCAGACTCAGGATGGAGCAGGAGGGCGGGGCAGTTTGAGGTCATGATGGCAATTGTAACAGATCACCAGAAAAAGAAAAAAAAATCTAGGCTTAAGTAAGCCTGTTAATGCTTACTTGCTCTCTTTAATAACAACCTAATATATGTGTGTGTATGTATAACACATTTATACATTTTCATATTGGGAGTATTTCATATTAGGAAATAAGTTAAGTAAATAGAAATATATATATATAAAATATATTGTACAATTTTTTCGTTATGGAGAAGAAACGGAGTAAGGATAAGACCT